TCAAATTATTACATGCTATGAATTGGTTGAGTTGATCCATTAGGTAATCATAGCTTAACAATGGTTAATAATTTACAAATTATCATGCATCAATATGAATTCACTCACAAATTATGGTAAGCTTATGTTAAGTATTTATTGTATACAGATACTCAATCAATTGTAAAACAAGAACCCTTATAATTAGGTCCCTGATTGGAGATTAACTCATTTGCAATTGTAGCCGACTCACATGTCGTTCTAGAGAGCGCACATTGAAGAAGCATTCGGCGATGACACTACATTAGTTGCGCTTAAAGTCAGTGAGATTAACTATGAAATGGAGATAGTTTATGCGAAACAATTAATGCAAAATGGAAGATGCTGAGATTTTTGTTTAATAAAAACAACATTGTCGAATGGTTAATTTGCAAGTTTATGGTTCTCCCATACGAAGCAATTACTTTTAGGATATTCGATCGTGGTTTGAATGGGATAGATATGTTCGTAATTGTATCGTCTATAAGTTCATAACTAAAATTTGTATTCTCTTATATCTGTGCTACTGTTCGTAAAAGTACCGGGTGTAAATCTCTTGTGCTTGTGTTCGTAAAGTATCAGGTGCAGATCTCTAGGCTTGTATGTGTTCGCTTATGTTACAATTCCTTGATACGGAAGTTATTGGAGCGAAGTGCTAAACATTTAAGCGAGAGCCTCGATCTTTTGACCAAACAATCATATGCTCAACATAGACTTTAGGATTAGATGACATTAGTCCATACGCCCCTAGAACTTATTCTATTTAGTTGTGTCACAGTTTTTATGCTTCCACTTTTAGAAAATACCAAAACATGGCATAATCGCCATTTCTTTCTTAGATCTTGAATGATTTTGATTTGGAATCGTCAAGTTACTGACGTTAAACAAGAATTTCTTCAGAGGCAGCACAATTTCTTTTTAGTACTTTTTAAGTATCTTTTATTTCATGCATTTTAGCTTTTACTCTTGAATAAAAAATACTTAGCGAAAGGTCTACGGTTCAAATTTTCTCTTCATTTTCTCGTCCAAATACTCTCATCTTAGTTTCGACTTTTGGACATGCTTCCTTTCGGCAAATAGTTGCAGGGAAACATGTAATGATTATGATACCTGAGAAATCATACATCAGTGATCACTTGTAGATACACAATTCATCATAATTCACATCAATCCATTGCATAAAACAGAACATATTTACCAACTCCAGCTGCTGTCAACGAACATTGAATATCCTTGCACCATTATTTAAGCTGAATTTTCATCAAATATTTGAGCCTAAAATATAGCATGATTTACAGTAGATAAATTCCCCAATGGTGAAAGAATATCCGCAGCCAGACTTGGGTTCCAAACCGAACGACTCACTCAGATGGAGGATTGTAAAGTAGACTCTGACACTTCAGTTCCATTGTTTCTGAGTTCTGCAATCATCAGGAAAGATGTTTCAGGCATAAATAATGCTTCGAACATATAAATCAGAAGGGCATGGCTTTCAAAAGAAAAGAAAAAAAAA